GAGTATATATCACATCCTTGACTCTTTGTATTGAGACACTCCAAGATATGATTTAGTGGTGTGAGTATTGATGTGTTGAAAATTATCGGGAGGCGGAGGTTCCCACAATTTGTGATTCTGCTCATTTCTATCTCCTCCATACAAATTAAAAATCAACCACACAATTTTTACTATTTTTATTTCTCATCTAATTCTAAGAGTGCAAAGTTCATTGGGACGGAGGTAGTATAATATTTCTATGTTTTCGGTATGGGAAAAGGGAAATAATGTTTATATGCGTTGGAGACAATGGTCACTATCAGGAGGCGGTTAGTCACTGGCGGTAGGTCACTACGGCGAAGTCACTGGCCGACCCTAGGAAATATAGTCACTGGAGAAGGAAGGGTAACGATGACACTGAACTGAGGAGGCGACAGATGAATCGCGGAGTCACTGGACGATGCTTGGAAACGTAGTCACTCAAGAAGGTAGAGTAAGGAAGTCACTAGACAACGAACAATGATAGAGTCATTGGCGGACGACATTACTGTGATGGCAGTGGCTGCACCGGCGATGGCGGCGGTCATTGGGTGGTTTTTTGGCAAATGTCATTGGGTGGTTAGAAGACATTAATTAATTATTAATTATAAAAAAGGAATATCCAATGTTTTAAGCGGGCATCATGATGAATGAAAACCCTAAGGGCGGAGTATAGGCCAGTCGCCGGTCCTAGATCGATTGATCGCAATCCAGGTTATAGGGTCTTCGTCGTCGGGTTCCTTGTTCTTTATGCTTGGTTTTGTTTGATTTCTAGTCTTGTTGGAGTACGGGTTGTTTGCCCGTCGTTTGGTCCGGCGTTCACTTGGCCGAGAGTCTTTTTACGTTCATGTTGAACGGGTTTGGGTTCTGAATTTTACTCTTGTTCTGTCTCTGTTTTGACCACACAGCTTCAATTGTCGATTCCAGTAACTTCCAATTGGCTTACTTTTAATTGGTTTTCTTTATACGGTTTTTGGCATACTTTGTGTGTTTGTGTATGTGGATTTTGGATTGAGTTGCTATGGATATGATTACAAAGAATGTTAGCATGATATCAATTGCTGCGGAGGAGAATAGGGGTTTGGTGCTCGCAGCTGATCCGGTTGAGAATGCTGATGGGACTAAAGAGGGTTCGGATCTAGCAGCTGTGGCTAGAGTGGTATCGAACAAACCTATTTGGGTTGTACCTTTCTGTCAAACAATGGCTATGGTTTGGCGACCAATCAAGGGAGTTTCAATTGATGAGATTGGGGATTCTAGATTCCTCTTACAGTTCTATCATGAAGGAGATCTGAGTAGAGTTGTTGATGAAGGGCCTTGGTCTTTTGAGCAAAATCTTGTGGTCATCAAACGTGTGGGACCTACCGACAGACCTCTTGAGATTCCACTGGATCATGCGGACTTTTGGGTTCAGGTTCACAATTTACCGTTAAGCTACATGACGGCAAGGGCAGCGCGTGGAATAGAGTTGTTGATGAAGGGCCTTGGTCTTTTGAGCAAAATCTTGTGGTCATCAAACGTGTGGGACCTACCGACAGACCTCTTGAGATTCCACTGGATCATGCGGACTTTTGGGTTCAGGTTCACAATTTACCGTTAAGCTACATGACCCGGCAAGGGCAGCGCGTGGAATAGCAAACAACATAGGATCGCTTGTGCAAGTGGACGAGAGATCTCTTGCGGAAAGCAAAGGTTGGATGGTATTGCGCATCAGTGTCACTATTAATATTACTATGGCTTTGATCAGGCGCTTACAGGTCAGACAGGAGGGAGATAGTTGGATTTGGGCAAACTTTCTCTATGTGAGACTCCCAAATTTTTGTTTTCTATGCGGGATTCTTGGTCATGCTGATCGCTTCTGTCCCTCTAATTTGCATAGCGGCGCATGGTTAAGGGCCGATACGAGGTGAGGTGGTTCACATCCGGGCAACAGGTGGCTTATCCCTAGCAATAACAAGCCATGAGACAGGGAGGGTCGGAGGGATGAGGGAGCAGACTTTGGCAAAACGACAAGCGAACAGGAGAGCTATTTGGTGGAAGGACTCCTATCAAAGGACAAGGAGATTGTTACAACTCAGGAAGCACAAAAAAACGCAGGGTCACTAAAAAGGATGGCGAGGAGGGGGTTCAGGCAAGCATGAAAGTGGATGAAGCAACTCCAAAAAACTTGGAAGTGGCGGTGCTGTCCGGGAAGCACCGCCATTAGCAAAAGATTTGGAGGATAAACACGAGGAACCTTTAGCAAAGGCTGGTCAAACCGTTGTTTCCTTGCCAGTGACAGGAAAAACTGGATTATGTTCTTCTTTTAATTTGTTGTCGTCTCAGAACTCTTTTATGTTTTTTACGTTTCCTTTTAATAGCAGGTGCAACATTGCTGTGAGTGGAGTCTACCAAATCGCGGGGTTAACGAGATGGACCGCTAGTAAGCTTGTTTTCAGCTCTGAGTCTCGCCCCAGTGTAGCCTTTGTTATGGTGAACTTGTATCTGATCCTCAGTTTTAATATCAATTAAGTTATCTTTTGCCAAAAAAAAGGAATATCCTATTATTAAATGAAATACTAAATAAGGATATAAATAATATGGTGAGTCATATTTTTGGGATACTATAAAACAAGTCACAATTTTGTCTTGTACATCTAATTTAGTAATATTCATAAAAAGTCCTATATATCTTAAACCGTTTTAATTACAATTTTCTGTAGCACTCCTCATCCCAAATTAGCAAACATGGAAATCAGTCAAATGTTTGGGAGTTTAAACATTTTGAAGGGATGATTTTAGAGGGTTATTATAACCCTCCAAAATCCTTCAAATGTTTGATTTTTAAATTCCACCAATTTGGAGATTTGTGAAGGATAACAAAATAAATGATAATGTTAGCTCAATTTATAATGAATACAAGTACAACTATTTAAATCCAATATTTATTTTAAGCGATTTTAATTATAATTTTTTGTAACCCTTCTCTTCCTAAATTCATAATTCCCAAACAAAAACAACGTTGTTGTTTTTTTTGTTTGCAAACAAAACAAGGTTTTCTTTCACTTTCCCTCCCCTTCTCCTCACATGGCTAACTTTTAGACCCCTCCCTTCCCCCTCGCCCAAAACTCCAAAACATACCCTTAGGGTGTGTTTGGGAGTTGTTTTTTAGGGGAGAGATAGACATGTGGGGGTTAATGACTCTCTTATTTGTGTTTTAAGTTCTCCCAACTTGGAGGTTTTGAAATGATAACTAAATAAATGATAATTTATACTCAATTTTAACTCACTTTTATAAAATGAATACAAGTTTAACTACTCCCTCCGTCCCGAAAACAACTTCCCACTTTCCTTAAATGGATGTCCCAAAATTAACTTCACACTTCAATATTTTCCTTATTTGGCAAATTATCTGCATCAAAAAAGTGATAAACAGTGCCAAACAGTGTTTAAACAGTGCAAAACAGTGCATTCTACAGTAAAGTCAAATTTATTTCCTAAAAGTGTGTGAAAGTCCAACCGGGAAGTTGTTTTCGGGACGGAGGGAGTATTTGAATTCGATATATATCTTTAATGATTTTAATTATAATTTTTCGTAACCCTCGTCTTCCCAAATTTATAACTCCTAAACAAAAATAACGTTTTCTTCACTTTCTCCTCCCCTTTCCCTCTGATGGCTACCCTTTAAATCCTTCCCTTGCCGTCCCCCAAATTTTCTATTGAAGTTCAATTTTAAAATATGATAAGGTGGCATTTAAAATACTTCGCATATAAAACCATTTTGATTTTTCAACACATCAACACGGACAACACTAAGGACATGTTTACATTACAAATTATTAAGACTTGTGTTAATAAGCAGCGTTAAAATAAATAGTGCTATATAAGCCCATGTTTACTTAACAAGATTTAAAACATTGTTTAACATTAAAATGCTCAAAATAACCTTATACATATATACAAAGGATTCATGTATACACAAGTATATACACAAGTATATATAATACATGGGGGACTATCCCCTACCTTTACCTGTCCATGTACACCCTGCCCCTTACCCATGCCCCCTACCCCTACCCATCATGGGCGGAGCTAGGGGTGGGCCAACCTAGGCCATGGCCCACCCCAAATTTTAAAAATGACTTAATTTTTAAGGTAAAAAATTTCGTGTAAAAATTTTTCAAAAAATATTCTTTGTACCGGCCCAGTGCCTGGCTCCGCCCTTGCTACCCATACTCCTACCCCTTATCCCCTACATGTGGCGCATACCCCTACCCGACCCCTAACCCCTGCCCCACCCTACCCTAGTACCCCTACCCCTTACCCCTACCCTACTCTACATCGGTTAGGAGTAAGGGTACACATAGGGGTAGGGGAAGGGTAGGGGAAGGGTAGGGGAAGGGTAGGGGAAGGGTAGGGGGTTATATTGGAGTGCCTTACTGTAATTTTTAAAACGAAGTAAACACGTCCTAAATCATACCGAGTATATTGGAATGCCTTAACTGTAATTTTAAAAACGAAGTAAACACGTCCGAAATCATACGGAGTATATTGGAGTGCCTCAAAGCAAACAGTCAAGGATGTGATATTTAATAAAATTATTTTGCAATAGACAAAAATTACAACAACAAAAGAAAAATAAAATTATCTTGCAATAGACAAAAATTACAACAACAAAAGAAAAGCAAACACTACAAAAAAAGTATTTTTGAAATTTAAATCGATTGAAGTCTTTCATGGGGAACTGAGAAAGTACAATACAAACTAATGTATTCATTAGTTTGTCTTTTACTTTCTCAGTTCCTCCATGAAAGAATTCATACAATATAAATATCTTTCTAAGTCAAATCATTTGAAGTTAATCATATAACTGAGCAAATGTGTTGAAACAAATATTATAAAGCGCTATAATATTTTTAAGCTTTCGGTATGGGAAAATGAAGAGCTAAAATAAAGTTTAATGCCGAATTACCAAATTAGTTAAAAGTAAAGTTCCAATTAATCAGGCGTGTTTTTTGACAAAAAGAAGAGCGGAGTCTCACTGGTTCCAACTTCCAAGTTCTAATCCATGGGAGGCTGTTCAAACGACCAAAGAGAGATGTCTCATCTTCCCCAACTCCACTCGCTCAACATCAAAACTTGTCCTGATCACGACGAGTTTCTAGTCTCCCAATTCGTATTCTCAGAATCTCAGCTTGTTCCATATCTTTTCATTTCGCGCGATCAGTATTTGAAAACACTCCGATCACTCCATCGCTCTTCACGTGGAATACGTTGATATGGGAGTACTCGAAAAGCTCGTGTGAGATTGAGTCCTTGAAGTTGTTTATCCGGCTTTTGAGAACCGGAATAAGACCTGATAAGTTTGTTTTCCCCTCCGTGCTAAAATCCTGTGGGTACCGTTCCATTGTTGGAGCTGGCGGATCAGTTCATTCATTGTCGATAAAGTCGGGGTTTGCTTTTGATGTCCATGTGATAAACACCCTCCTGAAAATGTACGCTACATGTAACATGTGGTGTGATAGCGTTTGCAAGAAAGTGTTCGAAGAAATGCCTGCAAGGGACATGGTTTCTTAGAGCTTTGTGATTTCTAGCTCTGTTGATTGGTGAGGATATTCTTCTTGTTTTTTCATTCGGTTTTCAGACATCTTAACGTTATTCGTAGTTTGGTTTTGTTTGAATAATCAAACTCCTTCCATCTCAAAATAAGTTGCAGACACATTTGTCAAGAAGCTAAAATTTTGCGGTACAGATTTGCGATACAGTGAACCATTTTTTTTTATCAGTGAACCACACAAGTACATAACACTTTTGATAAAACTTAACACAATCCTTATTTCACATGAACCTTTGGAACAAAGAAACAACTTAATTTTAGGTCGAACGAAAAAGTGCACGACAAATATTTTTTGCGCCAGAGGGACTGATGGAGTAATGCACCTGAAGATTATTAATCGGATTTAGCAAGACCATTTCTAGGACTGCTCTGAAGAGATGGTTTCAGTTCTCTATGCATTAGTTATTCTTATACTACTCCGTAACGTTTAATATTTTTGAGCGGCCTGTCTAATATTGATACCTACTAGATTTCTTTTGGTAGCTAAATATCTGTACCATTATATTATTGCATAACCATTGCTCTGTAGAAGAGAATTATCATTTTGGTGTTGCTTACTTGCTTGATAGTGTGGTAAGGCAATGAGCAAGAATGTTCCGACCCCCTTTTCACTTGTGATGTGTACATTAGTAAAATGAGCTATTCTCCCTAAAAACTCTTCCTTTTTTCTTAATTTTGTTTCTATATTGAGTGGACATTATCCCCGTTTATAAAACTTTTGTGCATTGATGCATATATGATATGACAAAACCTTGATGTAGTTCCTAGAAACATGGAACTGTTTCCCTGCCACATCAGTTTTGAGTGTTCCTATCATCCTATGTACTTCCTTAATTTCTTGTAGTGACCTCCCTTCAGATGATATTGGAGTGTTCACGAAGATGAAGCTTGCAAATGAGAAGTAAACTTCAATCACTTTGGTGAGCTTGCTGCTACCTGCGTGTACCATTCTCCTGAATGCCAGACTAGGCGAGTCCATCCATTCGCAAATCCTAACTAATGGTATTGAGTTGCATGTTGGCCTGGGAACAACCCTCCTTCAGATGTATGCGAAGTGCGCCCACGTGGATAAAGCCTTCCACATCTTCAATATAATGAGCGCCAAGAATCTGCAGTCGTGGACTATAATGATATCTGCACTTGCAGATAATGGCCATGGAGAAGAAGCCGTATGCTTATTTTCCAGAATGGAAAAATCTGGACTGAGGCCCGACAGCTTGTCATTTTCTGCTTGCGGTCACTTAGGTCTTGTCAATAAAGGGCATGACCCGTTCAGGAGAATGGCGAGTGTTTATGATATCAGACCAAGCATGGAACATTATGGATGTATGGTGGACTTGCTTGGACGTGCAGGTAAGATAGAGGAAGCTTACCAGGTCATCGTGCACATGCCGATGGAACTAAATTCTGTAATACTAAGAAGCTTTATTAGTGCCTGCAAACAGCATGAACGCATTGTTCCTCATATAAATGAGAACCTTAAGGAACTGCTACCTAGAATAGAGACTGACATTGCAGCCAACTATGTGCTTGCTGCCAATATGTCTTCCAACCAGGGTAATTGGGATGATGCAGATGGACTGCAAACTTGTATCAAAGAAAAGGACATAAAGAAAGTTCTGGTTGCAGTTGGGTGGAGCGGCTGATCTAGATCCTTTATTAAGTGTGGGCCAAAAAATAAAAGAAAATTTCATTGTCCTTAAAATTGTACTCCATATCATTTACGATTCAAATGTCATAGGAAATTTGATACTTAGAATTCAATTCAAAAATGAATTGAATAGCATTTGTCTATGAGTCTATCCTTCACCAATCAAACATACGGAGTACTATTTAAATACTTTTGGTATAATTTTCTCTTTTTCCTCTTCATCCAATAAGTTTTTCCGCCTAAAACATGTTTGTAGGAATAATTCATTATATTGTGTATATATATCTTTTCTTTGCTTATATAATAAGAGCCAACTAATGTTAGCATAGTTCTTTTTCCGTCTATTTCCGTCAAAATATTTTACCGTCCATATCCCTTCCATCCAATTCCGTCTTCCTCTTATGTTTTTCCGTTTTTCCTCCCGTCCAGTTCACATCGTCTTTACGGATACTATGCGTCGATTCAGGGCACTTGCTCAACCGCAAAAAACTTCCCAGATTGGTTATATATTACAGGAGAGTAGGCAATGACATGGGCCAGATGCATCTCTTCCGCTTACTCCCCGCCACCATTCCGCCCTTTCAAGGTAATGATTTCCTATCTAAATTTCTCCATCCTCTTGCAGTGGCACCTATTTCTAAAATTGTTAATTCGTTTGGTTGTATTTCAAGCTCTTTGTACAGTCTTACCAAACATCTGGACTCCTTTCCCATCCCACCTCCTTTGCAACTTTCAAAAACAAGCAATTTTCATAGTTAAGGAATTCATGAATGTCTTCCACATGTTTGACAAAATGTATTAGCCACTGCCTAAGATTTACAATTGTCACTTTCTATACTAAGAGCAAGAATTTACTTCATTCTACTCATATTTTCAATTCCAACAACTTTTTTCTTTTTTATAAACTATCATTTATTTTTTTGCGAGGATTATAAACTACGGAGTATAATTTAATTCACACAATAAGCTAATCTTAATCTAATGCTTTGAACTAATTCACTTACGTAATGACCAAGGCTGCTGGTGTAATTTGGAATGAAGCAGTATAGTCATATAGTCTGGTCTGCTTTATGAAAAAGCTATTCTATTCATATTATTAGACTCCATAAACCGAAACAAAATACTTTATTGTAACCTTTCACAAAGAAATGCAAAATATTATCAATTTTAGGAAATATTTAACGAAGAGCATTGTTGTGCTACCCATGCCCACACACACAACTACATAAGTACAAATTTGTTTGTAGTGCTTAAGCCATTTTCTGTCCTCTCTGGTATTCCTTTGTGTTTCACACTTTATACTTTTTGTTAATAAGAATTTAAAAATACAAGATTTATTAATATATGTGGAGTAAGTGATAACATTACTAAGGAAACTCATTTCTTGGAACTTCCAATTTTAGAAAATGAATCCAGGAACTCCCTAATATCATCTTTTCAGCACTTTGGAATTAGTAGTTGTTTGGGATGGACATGAATAAAATGTTTAGTAAGAATGGTTTATTTACAATATGTGGTCTGGGAAAGGAACTCAGTTGATAAATAAGCTTGTAAATATGGATTTTTCAACTTTTACAAGCGAATTAGCAATTGCAGAAGTGATTCCATGGCAAACCGATTAAGAGATGCAAAAGATATAGAATCAATACCTTGCAAAAAAAGAGAGGTACTGTAACAGGGTCTAATATATATGTACTGAAAAAAATTGTTTCACGGTTGTCCCTAACAACGTCTAATTCCAAAGTAATGAATAAATATATATTCAGGAGTTCCTAGATTCATTTTCGGAAATTGGAAGTTAATAAAAAGGAGTTTTCCTTGTAAAATTTGTAACTTACTCCATGTGTTTTTGCAAAAAAAAAAAAACCGCTCCCCCTAACAACTACTACTTCCAAAGTGCTGAAATAATTCGTTTGTGGAGTTCCTACGTCCATTTTCTGAATTGGTAATTTCAAAAAATGAGTTTTCCTAATTAATAATGTCACTTGCTCTTGCGCCCCTAAAGTGCTAAATTGTTATTTCTAAATTGGAGTTATGTTAGCTTAACTGATGTTACGAATCAGGAATATACAAATTAGTTTGATGTGCTTAATCCTTTTCTTTATCCTCTCTGGTAGTGCTTTGTATTTCACACTTTATACTCTTACCAGCTTTAGTTATTAACAAATTTAGGGTAAAGTTACTTCAAAGCAAATTCCTTATTGTGGGTTTCGTGTACAATAATATCTCAAAAGTCACTAGATCCAGATAAACAAGCCACTTTTTTAAATTAGAACTTTAAAATACCAGCTTTAGTTACACAATTTTTATATTACATAGGGAAACAACAAGAGGCTTAGAGAGACTTTGCACTAATGGCAGACTGTCTTTGGCGAAAGTTTATGATATTTTGAGGAAGAAAGGTGTGAGAGAACCTGGATGCCGTTCATTTGGAGACCATTTCATCCCACCTAAATACTCTTTCATCACGTGGCTCTTTCATCATGTGGCTGGTGTTTAGGAACACACTAGCTACTCTGGACAACCTGGAGTATTTGGAATCTTGGAAATATTTGTTTTCTTTGTTTGCTTTGCTTGCCCTTATTCTGCAGGTATTTGGCCGGACATTCGTAAATGGTCGGGCATTCGAAGATATGAATACTTTATCAAGCTCGATTAAGTGGATTAGAAAGGAGCACCGTGGAGTTCAGATTCGCAACAAATCAATATGTATAGCCTTTTGTTGTGCCATATATACAATCCGGAGATCCCGTAACTCAGCATACTTTGATCATCTTCTCTTCCAACCCTAGGAGGTTTTAGCTAAAATCAAGATGGTAGTTTATAGAAACCTGGTTAGCCTATATCCTACATTCCTACCACTGTAGTTGTTTTTAGAATCTGTTTTTGGAGGATTTTTCTTTGGTCTGGGCTTGTTGTGTTCTAGCTTTTTGGTTTGGTATCTGATTATGGAAGGTTGTGGCATGGTTAGGCAGGTTCTTTTGATTACAGTGAGGGGCCTGTCCCTTGCTGTTTGGTTTGTGGCTGCCATATGTGGGTAAGGCAATGATTCTACCTTATGCCCGCAGTTTGTTGTTTTGTTTTTCTTTGAGCAGGGGTATGCCCTGGTGGTCTTGAGGATTATACAATTTTGGATGAGTCAACATGTACATTTTACCCGTTTATGAGCAGCAAGGCTAAAATTTAAAATGTTTTTTTACTTATTCTAATACAATGATAATCTCCTATTCAAATAATATGTTTTTAGGTCATAACCAATCATCTTCACAATGGGGATGATTGACTTGCAAGTTCCCCGAAAGCTAAAAGGAAGCTCTTTGTGGAGGAAGGCAATGAATCATAACACAATGAATCAATAGTATAAATATTGAGCAGCCTTATCATTCAAGAAATCCAACAAATCCTACATGCAAAATCCATAAGAAAATTCAAATAACTTTGGTTGTGGCTAACCCACTGTTTTGTTGTTATGAACTATTACTTTTATTCACATAATGAATAAATACTTTCAAGGCAATTTTTAAAGTTTTGACCTATAAAATGTTTTGAATAAATACAATTTTTGGGCATCATTCGCACGTAGTGCGTACTCTGCTAGTATGTATATATATATATATATATATATATATATATATATATATATATATATATATATATATATAGAGAGAGAGAGAGAGAGAGAGAGAGAGAGAGAGTGCTCTTCATGTCAGGCCGGCCTGACGGGCTGCCCCGTCCGGCCGAGCCCGTTTGGGCACCGTCCTGGTGGAATTTTTTGATGAAATGTTTTGAGCATGTTCCTCATTAAGTCTAGTTTGTCCATACCAAATTTCAGCTCAAAATTCGATCGGGAAGGTCGTCAAATGATTTAAGTTAACTGGTCCGGAATATGTATTTTCCGGACCAGTTAACTTGCAAAAATCATTTGACGACCTTCCCGATCGAATTTTGAGCTGAAATTTGGTATGGACAAACTAGACTTGACGAGGAACATGCTCAAAACATTTCATCAAAAAATTCCACCGGGAAGGTGCCCAAACGGGCTCGGCCGGACGGGGCAGCCCGTCAGGCCGGCCTGACATGAACATTCCTCTCTCTCTCTCTCTCTCTCTCTCTCTCTATATATATATATATATATATATATATGGATTATGGTCATCTCGACAAAATCTTGTTTCTCTTATTAAAAATATCATGGAAAAAGTACGGAAAAGGTACTTGTGGTTGGGCCCGTTTTCAGATAAGGTCATGTGTTTCATTCTTTATCAAAGTGGTTCATGTGTTTGAATTTCGTTATCACAAGAGGGTCTCGCCGTTAAAAACGTCTGAAAAAGACCGTTAAGAATAACTCCGATTTTCAAAAGTGCCCAAAAAATTAAAAAAAAATACCGGAAGGTGCGCCTCAATAAGACGACCGCTAGGTCATCTTTCTTTTTTGTTTTCCGCCACCCTTGTCACCAGAAAGTCCACCGGAAAAGTGATATTAGTGAAATCATTTTTAAAAAATAATTCAAACAGATCTGAAAAATCCAAAGGCGAAGGTGGTTTGGAGGTCATCTTGACGAGGCGCACCTTTCGTTATTTTTCTTTTAATTTTTCGGGCACTTTTGAAAATCAGAGTTATTTTTAACGGTCTTTTTCAAACGTTTTAACAGCGTGACCCTCTTGTGATAACAGAATTCAAACACATGAACCACTTTGATAAAGAATGAAACACATGACCCTATCTGAAAACGGGCCCAACCACAAGTATCTTTTCCGTACTTTTCCCAAATATTAATGTAACGGCTCATGAGATATGTCTTACAAATTAATTGTGGAGTTTTATTCATTAACAAATGGTATTGATGTTTATCAGATTCTATTAAAAGAGCTAGATGAGGCTCCTCAAAATTTTGTTCAATTATATAATTACTGGTATGTGTACCCATGCATCGCACGGTAAGAGTAGATCTTTGTTATTTTTCGAGAAATGAAAAGTATATTTTAAAGAAAAAAAAAAGGGAAAATACAAATATGAATTGAAAATACAAATATGAATATAATCAAAGATTATTATACTTAAAACAATTTTAGTTGTGTTACCATGATATCCGTTATAGACTGTAAGTTTATCGAATTGAAAATACAATGATGGATAGTGTACCCGGGGATAGCCTATCCGAGGGATACCATGAGGCATATCTTAGAGAGAAGTCGGAGTAATAAGAAAGAGAAGGAGAGAGTGAGAATGTATTAAATAAACTCGTTGTTCTTACAGAGGAAGAAGAGGGTGCTATTCATAGCAGCCATAAATGTTAGGCACACATTAAATGCTAGTACATGTGTCAAGTAATCAATGGTGGAGGGTCACTCCATCAGCGGTGGCGCCGGCAATGCATGTGGCACCGCATTAAATGCAGTAGTTGGACGTGACACCGCATTAAATGCGGTGGTTGGACATGACACCGCATTAAATGCGGTGGTTGCCTGTCTTCAGAGGGAACCTTCACTGAGTGGAGACCCTTCGGCGTAAGTGCCGAAGGCTACTATTTAAGCCAAAATCTTCCAACGGCTTTGTAGGTCCAAGAGCATTTGCCTCCTGAAGTGTTAGAAATTTAACTCACAAACACGAAGAACAATTAAAGAACACACGAAATTTGGTAACCCAGTTCGCCACAGAGGACTACGTCTGGGGGCGCTACCAAGCCAGGAATATTATTAATATTTTCTGGATACAGATTACAAGAGAGGAGAGTGGTATTTATAGAGATGCAGTGTCTTGTTCCAAAAGTAGCATAACCCCTAATTAAATTAGGATGTGTTTCCAAGAATAAATTAAGAAACTGTCTCTAACACCTTACAATCTCCCACCTTGAGACTGTCTACTTCAAATCCTCCCTTGTTAGCATGGACGCATGGTAGCGCCGGCCTTCAACTTCAAGTACCAAGGCCAATTGAAGCTATGCAAAGCTTCAACTTCTTCAAGGTTACCACCTTAGTAAACATGTCTGCTGAATTCTCACTCCCACGGATCTTCACAAGCTGCAATGCCTCTATCTCTAGAAGATGACGGATGTAGTGATACTTCAACCGAATGTGTTTGGTTCTATTGTGAAAAGCTGAGTTGTTTGCCAAGAAGATAGCACTTTGACTGTCACTGTAAAGAATGCTATTCTTGTACTCCTTCCCAAGTTCCCCAAGTAAATTCTGAAGCCACACCATCTCCTTACTTGCCTCCGTAATGGCCACATATTCTGCCTCTGTAGTAGATAATGCAACAATCTTCTGCAGCTGCGAAAGCCAAGATACTGTTGTCCCACCAAATGTAAAAACATACCTTGTGGTGCTTCTTGATCCATCCGAGTCATTTGCTGCCAGATCTGCATCAACATGTCCCAGCAGCTCTACATTCTTTCCATCAAAACACAAAGCATTAGAAGCAGTACCTTTCAAATACCTCATGATCCACTTCACAGCTTCCCAGCGTTCTTTCCCGGGGTCTCCCATGTATCTGCTCACTACTCCCACCGCATGTGCAATGTCTGGCCTCGTGCAAACCATAGCGTACATGATGCTGCCAATTGCCGATGCGTATGGAATCTTCTGCATTTGAGCACGGTCCTCCTTGTTCTTTGGAGAATCTTCCTTGCTAAGCTTGAAGTGACTACCCAATGGAACACTTGCAGCCTTAGCATCTTGCATTCTGAATCTTTCCAAGACCTTCTGAATGTATTCTGCCTGTGAAAGAAACAATTTGCCCGCTGCCTCATCCCTCTCGATTCGCATGCCCAAAATCTGCTTTGCCTCTCCAAGATCCTTCATGGAAAAACGTTCTGACAATTGTTTCTTTAGCTTCTCAATCTCCTTTGAACTAGCTCCTGCAATCAACATGTCATCTACATATAATAGCAAGATAAGATAACAGTTCTCAGTCTTCTTGTAGTAGCAACAATTGTCGGTGTGACATCTCAAGAAACTGATTTCCCGCATGAAACCATCAAATTTCTTGTACCACTGCTTCGGTGCCTGCTTCAACCCGTATAAGCTCTTCACTAGCTTGCATACGAGATTCTCACTGCCCTTTGCCACATAGCCCTATGGTTGCACCATGTAAATCTCGTCATTCAGATCACCATGAAGGAATGCAGTCTTCACATCCATCTGATGTAACAACAACTTTTCTGCAGCAACTAACCCCAACACCAACCGAATAGTAGTTAGTTTCACAACGGGAGAGAATACGTCGGTATAATCAATACCATAGCGCTGCTCAAACCCCTTCACAACCAGCCTAGCTTTGTAGCGTTTGCTACCATCTGCCTCCTTCTTGATGCTGTAGACCCACTTGCAGTGCAAAGCCTTCTTTCCTCTCGGTAGTTCAACTAACCTCCAAGTATCATTGGATGTGAGAGATGTCATCTCATCATCCATTGCAAGTTTCCACTTGCCCTTGTCATCAACCCGAACTGCCTCTACATAGGACTCTGGTTCACCACCGTCAGTAAGCAACAAATAGAAATTAGAAGGTGAATACCTATTTGGTGCTCTTAGGTTCCTAGCAGGCCGCTGCCTTGGCGGAGTTGATGGATCCTCACCACTGCTCATCTCTTCATTCTGATCCTGCTTGCTCCCACCCGAATTAGAGATATCCAGCTCTATGATCTTCGGACTTTCTTGCTCAGAATCAGATGCGATCAATCTGTCCTTGTACAGAACCTGCTCGTTGAACACCACATCTCGACTACGAATAATCTTCCTATTCTGCTCATCCCAGAATCTGTATCCATAGTCATCACCACCATATCCAACGAACGTACACTTCACAGATTTTGCGTCTAACTTGCTTCGGTCAACGGAATGATATGAACATAAGCAACACAACCAAATATGCAGAGATAGGACAGATTTACCTCTTTACCCGTCCACCTTTCTTCAGGAATGCCATTCTCCAACGAGATCGTTAGACTTCTGTTGATGAGAAAAGCCGCGGTGTTCACTGCATCCGCCCAAAACATCTTTGGTAAGCCACTCTTCAACCTCATGCATCTAGCCCGCTCATTCAGTGTTCTATTCATGCATCTTCGGTAAGCCACTCTTCAAGAATGCCATTCTCCAACGAGATCGTTGGACTTCTGAAAATTTTGAGGGTATTTTTTGGGTTTTGTATTTTTTTTTTAAATTTACCAAAAAAAGTACTACCTC